CTTGCAAACCAGACAATGCGTTGATAGCGAATGGAAAACCGGGTTTCCTTTTAGAAGCGAATTCCGGAATTTTAGAAATCCAGCTATTTTCCGTGGTGAAATCGTTCTTTAAAAGGTGTTTACCGTCAACTACTTTACACATCTTCAAGTGCAAAGCACCAAAGCAGGATGTGTTATTGGTTGAGAATAGAGAATAGAATTTACGGTTTGATAGTATTTCAGAATACCCGTGGTGCTATCTGACTTTGAGATGGCTGCGCCTGTTCAGAAAAAAACAACGCAGCAGCAATCAAAAATGCTTACGTATGTCACTCCGCCCATTAGGCACACGTATGCAGATACATCAGACACACTTGCAGTAAGTAACACAAATTGGTAACATTGTCTCAAGTTCTTCATAGATCACCTCTCGCCATTTTACAGCCCAAACAGGGGCCATCAACAAGCAACAACGAATTAACGGAATCCGGGTAAATCTTTTGTATACCAGTCTTGACAAATATCCAGCTCTTTGATCGATGTTATCAGTCCAAGCAAGTGAACTGCAGAGTCCAGGTAAGGCACAGAACACATGGTTAACAGTTTTAGTTCACGAATTGACATCTTTGATGTCGATCTTGATGAAAATCGAAAGCCGTGCTCCGATTTTGTGCACCAACAATCACAGAGGTGATAATTATTCGAATTATTCATTGATTTTGTTGGTTGCAGCCCGGTGAATGTTGTCAGCAAACCGCCGTATATCACTATAGAAAGTGAATTACTTGCTGAGATCGGTAACTTTAATTTAATTTAAATTTAATTTAATTCTAAAGTTATCAGTTACCCAGTCGAAAAAGACCAATGCGAAAATAGACATAATCGAGAGGTCAATTCACCTACTACGTGCCGAAGTGAACGTGTTTTCAATAAGTCGAATATGCCATGAGCAAATTACTTAACCAATTGACAACTTGGATGACTTCTATCTTCTGTAAGATAGCCATGATAGCCATGTTTCCCCTTTTTGCATTTTATTTACACTAAACATATGCATTATGATGTTTCTCTTAATTTCTATTATGTCCATGACATACTGCAAACGTTTGTAAGCGCGAAAATGTCATGGCGTAAACAGTAATAAGGGGCGTTAGAAATGACAGCTGTCACACCTAGGAGTATTAACTCATTCCAGTAAACGGATGGACATTAGGGGTTAAATGGGGCAAATCGCTACGACCGGTAGAAGATTTCCTACGTAAACGACAACCGCGTTAAGTCGTTTTGGTAGCATTTTAGTAGTCGAATCGTAGCGATTTGGAGCGAAAAGACAACGGAATCTGTCAAGTTAATGCGATCTGGTAGTATATTACTAGCCATATAGTAGCACTTTAGTAGTCAAATAGTAGTCTTTTTGCTAGCAGGGAATACACATTGCCACTTGGCCTACAGAAAAAAATTATTGACTCAAAGTTTTGGATGCCAACACAACCGCCAAAACAGTGACCTGGATACACGATTGGCAAGAGCCACAAATGTACCTTATAGAGCTGAACTGAACTGACTCTGTGGCTTGTTTATCATAAAATTGCAAAAGCCCAATCGTAAGCGGTGAGTCATGGAGTACCGCCCCGCCAACCCCAAAACAAAAAACATTATTTATTGAGAAAAAAGAAACTACGAGAATACTGACCGAGTCTTCCCAATTTTGGCGATTGTAAGTGCTCGCTCCCTTGGACGACGCCATCAAAAAGCCAAGCGCACGACCTTGAACGTGACGTCGGGTTTAAAAGCACCGGGTTCAGGTAAGTTCAAATTGAAATATACCAAATTCAAATCAAAGGACGTAGTGAGGCCTTCGCCTGTTGGAGGTCCTTGTAATGGTGGGTTCAGTTAGTGGACCTCGAGTGTGCGTCCACCTTTGTGATTGATCGGTTTCTCCTTCTATCTGCAAACAGAGAGAAAGTGACATTACTTCTCGCCGTGTCGGCGAGAGACCTTTGTTGTTGAAGCATTCCACATTACGCAGAGCAATTTATGCACCTAACATTTTATGTCAGGGAAAAGCTCCAACAATCTGGCGTCCAGAGCTTTTTTAAATGCCTGGACACTTGACTGCATAATCAGTTCCGACAGAAGCTAATTCCAATTATCCACTACCATATTAATAAAGAAACGTGCTCGCAAGTTTAGCCTAGAACGCTGTTTCAAGAAGTTGAGCTTATGTCCACGCGTTATTTAGTGAGGAGCCGCAGTGAAGAAGGACAAAAGATCTAGACCCAGCAAATTTTTCCTAATCTTCAATACTTCGATGACGTCCCCGCGCAATCTCCTTATTTCTCGTGAAAAAGGACCGATAGGGTGAAGTATTTCATTCTGAATTTTCGAAAATCCCTCCGAATCCATAATGCTTTCTGGTGAAACAACTTTATCTGTGTGTTGCTCTTATATTGACATTTCTCGATCACGAACGCCAACACATTATTATTTTTCTGTTAATTTGGATTCCCGACACATTTGA